AAAAAGCTAAATGATCTCATTCAGATTCTAGAGCAACAACTCTGGTAGTAGCAGGTAAAATGGGTTAGAGAAAGACAGAGAGGTAGGGACAAATAAACCAATTATAAAAATAATTAGAGGTGGTAAAGACACAGTGTAAGGCTTGTAGGAAGAATCAGTACAATACAATGCTAGATAGAAACTGAGGTGGCTAGCATGGTCAGGAGAAAGACATAAAATCAGTTGAAAAGATTATATGTTGTTTGCTTGGTTGTTGTGTATTTTATCCTTTTTAAAGATATTGAGAAGTCATACTCAGGTGGAAATATCTGGGGAATAGGCTGGATATATGATGTGGAAGTTAAAAGAAAGATATGAGTTAAAGTTGTAGCTAATGTCCCTGACAGTAAGATAACTTGTAAATTTGATTTGGTTATTTCTCAAATTATTTCATATGGTATTGACTGAGTATACATTTATGGAATATATGTCTGACACTATTCAAAGGACCTTGGATAAATGATTTATTAACATGAGCAATATTAAGAAAAACAGGTCACGCTAAGGGGAGGTAAAAAGAAGGAAGTTAAGAAGGTGAATGTGGTTGATGTACGTTCTATGCAAGAAAGAATATAGAATTTTTAAACCTGTTGAAATCACTGTAAGAAGAGGACTAATGCAGAGAGGAGAAAAATGGAGGACATGAACCAATTTGGGCTTTAATACATATATTCGTGGAAATATCCCAGTGAAACACGCTGTATATCTATCTAAAACAAACAAAACAATGTTGATTTTTTTTTTACAAAAATAGAGAACAGGGAGGCAAAACAGGCCCTGTCTTGGGAGCAGGTACCAGTGGGAGTGGGTAGGATATAAGGAAAGGGTGTGGGAGGGTGAATATGGTGGAAATATGTACATATGTATGTAAGTGGAAAAATGAGATCTACTGAAACTATTCTAGGAATGGGGGAGGGGGGATAAAGGAGAATGATGGAGGAGGTGAATCCAACCATGATATATTATAAGAAGTTTTATAAATGTCACAATTACCCTCAGTACAACAATAATAAAGTATAAAATAAATAACATTTTTAAGAAATTTGAAAATGATAAACATGTGTATCATCATGATTGGTGAAGGAGTTAAAAATAAATATGCAATTGCAAACTATGATAAGGGCTCTCATGCAAAAGAGTTCAGACAGTAGTAGAATGGGATTCTAATCACTGTGGTGAGGGTGACAGAAACGTTTAGAAATTTTGTGAAAAATTGATATGTGTGCTGAGAATGACTAAGGACTATCTGATAGGGGATAAAAAATGGGTGGGCATTGTGTTTAATGTTGCAGATATTCCTGCAAATATTGTCAGCGAACCCTTAAACTGACAACCATACAGTGAATACTTTAAAATAAAACAGCATCAGAGAAAATAGAAATGACTGTCTTTGGGGATACACAGGAACCTATTCTAGAAAAGCTGGATTGATTCACTTTGAACTCTGGCACAGATTGTCAAAGTATAACACGAATCATGGCAGCTGCTAGGATGTGAGAGAAAGATACTGATATACAGAAGACTATTTTTAATAAAAAGGAAAAAGTTGCCAAGTTGGACCCAACATAAGATCCTGGAGCCTAAGAACAGAAAGGTTCAAGGAGGATCCCTTGAGAAAAATGAAAAATTACAACTTGTTCTTAAAATAAGGATGCTATTGGTTCTCTTCAGTTACAGGAAAGAAAATGGAAAGACTATCAGGTGGTAGTAGGTAGAAATTAAAGTGGTCAGATAACACTGTAAAAAATTCTTTCAAAAAAGCACGGATGGAGAGGATAGGAGAAGGTGGTGGTACAAGAGCTGGAGTTTCGTTTTGTATTTATGATGATTAAGCATATTAAGCATCTTCCTAGGTTAAAAGGAAGGTGGCAGTTAAAAAGGAAAAGGTGGCTTTGAAGAAATAAAAGAAGAAAATAACAATTTATAGAATAAATGTGAAAAAGCAAGAAGAAGGTAGAGAATCAAGAGCTGGAATGGAAGAATTAGTCTCGGGCTAGAGGAGGAACAGTGGAGATGAAGGAAGATTCCAGAACTTTCAGATTGCGTAAACAAAATATTTTGTGCATGGAAAGAGAAAAATCTGGAGTTGAACTGTTTGCTATAACACTACATTTTTTATAAGGTTTTATTGCCCCAAAGTCCTAGATCACAGGGATCAAAAGTAGCTTGAATATAAATGAGCGGATTTGTTAATTTACTTACAAAACTTGTGTGTGTGTGTGTGTGTGTGTGTGTGTGAATTTGGGGAACACAGCCTCCTTCTTGCTAATCAAAGATCCTACCACTTGAGCCACATCCCCAACCTTTTTGCTTTTATTTTTTGGATAGAGTCTTGCATTTTTCACCCAAGCCAGCCTGGACCATGGTCCTCCTATGTATGCCTTCCACATCGCTGAGATGACAGGTGTGTGCCACCATGTCCAGCTTACTGGTTGTGGTAAGCTCTCACTAACTTTTTGCCTATACTGTCCTCAAACTGAGATTACCCTAATCCCTACTTCCTGAGTGGCTGGGATTGCATGTGTGAGCCACCATGCCTGGCCATGTAAACTAACTTAAAATATCATCTGGGCATAACCTACATGTACATTGTAGATTGTACAATCCACATGAAAATATGTTAAATACACATTTTTTGTTTTCAAACATACAGTATTGATATATATATATGAATAATTTTTATGAGACAAATTAATACTTGCTATCTTACTAATTTTTAAAGCCTTTGTATGCTCTTTATATTGAGAGATAATTGAACTGCGTCTTCTCATGTTTACTAACACCAAAAAGCAAAAGACTTCCTTTAGTCAGGTTAGTCAAAAAAATACCAATGTGGTCTGTGGACAAAAGTCTGTGATTCAAGAACATTATTATTTTCCACTTAAAAATCAAATTCAATAAAAATTATAGTAGAGGTGGGTGGCATTGAAATATCTTCTTAGGCAGATAGACTACTTTTTTAGTATATCATTTGATTTTCTTTCAGCTCTAAAGTCCTGTTTATTTCCAAGGTAAGTACAGGAAATACCTCTCAAAATCCATTTGGATCATGAAATTAGACTGAGTACCCACTGATAAAATCATTCATTGTGCAATTAAAAAAAAAGTTTCTATGAAGACAAAATAGTCTTCTAACTGGTACTACACTGCCAGATTTAAGATGAGAAACTCATTTATTCAATACATGATTTTGAAGTACATTACTTCAAGGCACTTCTGCTATTGAAAAGTTAATAAGGTCAAAGAAAATGTCTAAAGTGATGTTCTCTTTAACTAACCTAGAGAAGTAAAATAATACAAGTTATTTTCCTTAAATTTAGGTTGGTGCATCAAAGAGTTCATCAAAGACTTATCTTGGCTATGTATGACTTCACATGTAGGGAGAAAAATCCAGTATTTGTTAGTACTATGTTATTGTTTTCACAATGCATGGTTAAGTATTTGTTTTTTGCATCTATAGGTATTTCTATTTTCAAGTGCAAGTTTAGGCTGTATATCAAATGATACATTAAATCATAATGTCAATTCGATTTGAACTATTAGCATCCAAAATAATCTATCAATAAATATGGGCATGTATGCAAAAATAATAATTTATCATTTGTGACATTTTTGTGATCAATATTTTATCTTTAAACGACATTAGTATGAAAGTACATAAGTAACCAATATGGCTAAAAAGAAGTAACTGCATAAAAAAATGAAAAGCAGTACTCTATATGGGAAAAGAAAATATAAATCAACAATAAAATGTAATGGAAATGCTGAAATATCCTAGAAGTTAAACATAGAATATTGATTAAATTCCTTTTAATAATGAATCATTGTTAGCAGGCAAAACACAGTCTATAAAATGAATTAAGCCAGCACTCATATTAAAACATCTATATCTTATAAAATTAAGGAAAAAAGAGAAAGACTTTAAAACATCCATTGATTATACATTTTTACTTCAATATGGTCATAAGTGAAAAAGTATATCAAAAGAACTGAAAAAGAAATCAAATCAAATCAGCAAATGTTAGTACAAATTTAATGGGAAAAGCATTTAAGTACATACAGTGTTGAAAGAAATTCTCCTATGAAGAATATTTTATGTCTCATTATGAAATATTTGAAGCATTCTCTTGAAACAGATAATAATTTATAAAATAAGAAAAGAAATGGTTGTTATATCAATGCACAAGTCCCCCATTGGCTTCAGTACTTGAAACCTAAAAGTGAATGCCAATAATCTTAAAATAATTTAGACTTAAAAACAAATAACTTTCACCATTTGTACCATATGAGCACTTTAATATTGCTAGGTATTCTAGCACCTACATATTTATTCCATATAACACAGGAAAAATAAAAATGCTACCTGCCCTTTTACAACAAAGTAACAGAGATGGGAATAGGTGACAAGTATTCAATCTGTTCATAGAGCCTGGAATTCTCTAACAGATAAAGTTAATGCCCGCTTTCTTTTCAGAAGCTCTAGCATAATGCAGTGTAGTGTTTTAAGAACATGAATTTAGTGGTCAGACAGACAGATCTGGGTTTAAGTATACTTACTAACCAGTTTTGTGAGCTTGGGCAAGTAAATAGCTACACTGAAGTTCAGATTCTTCATCAGTGAAAAATGAGAACTAAAAAGTTACCCTAGTTATAAGGTGGCTGTAAAGATTATGTGAGAGAACATATGTAAAAACTTAGCACAGTGCCTGACACATAGAGCTCAAAAGATGCTGGGAGTGGTTTTAAAAAGAATTACTACTGTAAGCACTCCTAAAGAATTTCAGGCAAGGACACACTTTTTTAAAAAATTGATTTCATATACACTTGAATATATATGTATATATAAATACTTATATATATATACAAATATTCTTAGTGTCATATTTTAGGAACATATCTGCTACAAGATGAATGTATTAGAGAGTTCTCTTAATTAAAATGAGAGAGGACTTCTCACTTACCTTGTCATTTACTACACTCTTCCCATCCCAAGCCCATCCTCTTTTGGTGAAGTAATTAACTGTTGCAAATTCAATTAGGGCAGAGAACACAAATGCGTAACACACAGCAATAAACCAGTCCATGGCAGTGGCATAAGCCACTTTTGGGAGAGAATTCCGAGCACTGATGCTTAGAGTTGTCATCGTTAGAACAGTTGTGACTCCTGCAAAAGAAAAGACAGGAACCAAAACCATCAATATGTACCAGCAGGACAGTATCAGAAACAGTTTTCCTTTTTCTTTCTTTCATTTTTTTGTTTTGTTTTTACTTTCCCTTAAATCTACTTTCAGTGAAAGTTGAAAACAATGCAAAGCTAAATTATCTGAAGTGGTTATTATGTAAGATAGAGCATGAGATTTGCATAGAACTGTTACTATTTTGAATTACTAATTCTATTGTAGATGAGAAAGATCTGCTTCAGCCTAAAGTAAAAAATAAAATACAGAAATATTCAAAATTATAAAGAAGTAATAATACTGAACTGATCTGAAAGTGCCTTGACTTCTCATTTTTGTTCTGTACAAATCACTTTTTCTCTTTTTAAATAGTATTGAGGTGAAAGAGACTGACAATATCAGAGAAGAATCACCTCTGATGAAAAGTAGGCACTTTAAATTGACCCATTGCTCATTAACATCAGTTTTTAAAAAATAGCACAAAGCCTCATGGTAATTTGTTCATTTATTTGAATCATACTAAGCAATAGACCCACCACCCACACCAGTGAATACAAAGGAACCATGATTAAGAAGCTCTTCATTCAAGCGTGGCTATATAAGAACAAAATTAATTGTTTGCAGTTGCGAGGACATAATCTCATTCTCAATACCACATAGAATATACAGGTAATAAAATAAGCCAATAAAAACAAAACCTTGTAAAATGTAAATCTCTATAAAGACTGGGTTATACTTTGTTAGTTTCAAAAAAATCTAATATTTTTCATTGTAAAGCTTTTTGCTAGTAGTCAGAGAACTCACAACTTTTAAGAGAGAACAAGGCAAGTTATACCATCAGCACTCAAAATAGCTACAATCATTTATTTTATTAGTGGTCCAACAAAACCTTAATAACATACATAGGAGATACGTTAAATAAAAAAACAATGAAAAGAAATGTGCACTCATATTTTGAAGATGAATATTAGCAAAACTTTAAGAAGTTGATACCATACCCTTGCTGAGGAGAATGTGAGATAAAGGACATCTTCTTTAATAGTGATTACATGTTGGTATCTAGCTAAGAAACTGTTGCCTAATCCAAAATTTAGGCCCATATTTTCTCTGTTTTTATAGATTTAGTTCTTCCATTTAGGTCTTTGCCCATTTTGAGTTAATTTTTAAGTATAGTACAAGGTAAATGTCCAGTGCCATTTAACGAAAACACTTGTTTACTCACCAAATGATCTTGAAATCTTTGTTAAAGATCAATTGACTATGGATATATGAGCTTATTTCTAGATGATCAGTTCTATCTCAATGATCTTCACATCTCCCCTCTACGCAAGTTTCACAGTGTTTTGATGACCACAACCTTAGTTAAGTTTTGGAATCAAGGAGCTGGAGCCCTTTTCTACTCCTATTCACCATTACTATATTTCAGAATTGTTTTGGCTATTGAGGTTCCCATATATTTCCATATGATTTTATGATCAGTTGACCCATTACTGCAAAAAAAGCTTATTGGAATTCGGACAGTCATTGAATCCAGTAATATTACCATCTTAAGCATATTAAGTCTTTCAATCTTCAAATATGGGCTATCTTTCCATTATGATTGATGACTGATAGCTATATATATATATGTATATATATATATACATACTTATATACATACATAAATGTACAGACATATAGACAAACAGAAAAATAGAAATATTTCCATTTATTTAATGCCTCATTCATTTCATTTGACAATATTCTGAAGCTTTCAGTGTAAAAGTTTTTCACCCCCTTGGTCAAACTTATTTATAGGTATTTTATCTACTTGCATGCTAATGTAAATGGAAGTGTTTTCCTGAATTCCTATTCAGATTATTCATTGGTGGTGTATTGAAACACAAATGATTTTTGTGTACTCATTGTGTACTCAGCAATTTTGGTAAATTTCCTTAGTATCCAATGTTTTATCTGGCTTAATTTGGGAATTCTCTATGCATAAAATCATGTCATCTGAAAACAGAGTTTTGCTTCCTCTATTTTACTTTACTGCCTTTTCCTGATTTCTCGGCTGGTACCTGCAGTATTATGTTAAAATAAATGGTAAGAACAGATATTTGTATCTTATTCCTAATGTTAGGGAGAGTGTTTTTCATCCTTGGCCTATAAGTATGATGTTAGATACAGGCTTTTCTTACATGCCCTTTATCAGGTCAAGGAAATTCTCTTTCTATTGCTAGTTTGTTAAGCATTTTTATAACAAAATAATTTTTGATTTTATCAAAAAACTTCCTGTGTCAATTGAGATAGTTGTATCTTTTTTTCTATTTCCCTAAAGTATGTTTCATTACATTGATTGATTTTTCATTTTATTTTATTTTTAAATGAGCATACATTAACAATACAGAGGGTTTCATTGTGATAATTCCATACATGTGTACAGTGTACTTTGAACAAGTTCACCCTCTCTATTGTATTTCCATTCCCCATCTCTCTCTTTTTCAAACAAAGTTTGGTAAGTTTCATTATGATGCCTACATGTGTATATAAGAAATGTTCTTCAATCCTCTTCACCCTTCATCCTCGCCTCTGACTGATTCTCCCCAAAACAGTCCCACATTGTGTTCATGTCCCATTATTAATACTGTTATCATAGTCAACATTGATTGATTGATTTTTATATGTTGAAACAACCTGTCATTCTTAGGATAAATCCCACTTCATCTTTTAAAAATATGTCTAGCTTCATTTTGCATTTTTTGAGGAAATTGATGTCTATATTCATAATTCAGTCTGATGAAAGATAGATTAGTTTAAAAGGTAAGCCTAGTCCCTGACTCCCTCTGTCTTCCTCAATCACACACCATCTACCTTTAGTGCAAGCACTCCCGCCATTTTGATACCAATCATCATTAGGCCCTCAATAGAAGCTGAACTGACTTGGGCACTTGAGCTGATGCTCTGAACCTCCAAAACGATAAGCTTTTCTTTATAAAATTCCTAGCCTTGGGTATCTTGTTACAGAAGTTGCAAACAACCTAATACAACTCTTTTTTTTTTAAGCATGTATTTTGAATTACTTTCCTTGTGTTTGTCTTGGGTATTAAATTTTATAACAATATAATTTGGATTAAAAGACAGAGGTCAGCACTAGAAGGGGATCAAGAACCAGTGTAAAGATCAGTTAGAGATGAATCCACCTGGGTTGTAACACATTTGTACATGGAAGCAATGCTAGGAATCTCTCTGTATAGCTGTCCTTATCTCAACTAGCAAAAATGCTTTGTCTTCCTTATTATTGCTTATTTTTACTCTTCAACGGAACTGGAGAAAAGCACAGAACAGGTTCTGCCTGGAAGGAAGGTAGGGAGAGGGTAGGGGCGGGAGGCAGGGGCAAGAAATGATCCAAATAATGTATGCACATGTGAAAAAGTGAATAATTAAAAAAACCCAACTAAATACAATATTATCAATTTTTTGCTTTGACATAACTTTATGCTATTATTAAAATGATACATTTATATTTTTATGATTGTTCAATAAAAATGTATAGTTACTGCTTTGTGCAGTAATGGATAGCTAGCCTGGGGCTGACTTTGGACCATGATTTTCCTACTTATGCTTTCTACATTGCTGGAACTACAGGTACATGCCACCACACCTGGCTCTTCCTTTAGTTCTTTGAACATGGTTGCCAATAGCTCCTTTGTTATATATAGCATAGCTTATTATAGTCTTTGCATACAAGTCCAATACCTGTTATTTCTCAGGTAGTTTCTAATTAATTAATTTTTCCTATAAATGGTTTATGCTAGCAAGGCAAAGTGGTTCACACCTGGAATCCAAGCTACACAGGAGGCAGAGCTCGGGAAGATTGTGGTTCACATCCAGCCCAGGCAAATAGTTTGCAAGACTTTATCTCAAAACAACTCATCACAAAAAAAGGGCTGGTGGAGTGGGTCAAGGTGAAGGCACTGAGTTCAAACCCCAGTAACACAACAATAAATAAATAAATAAGTTATACTTTCTTTTGTTTTTGCATATGTCAGTATTTTTTGCTGAAAACTGGACATTTTGAATACTGTAATGTGGCAACTTTGGAAACTAGAGTCCATTTCCTCTCTAGGATTCTTGTCATTGCTGATATACTTGCTGTTTGTTTGTTTAGCGAATTATCTCCAGTAATTCAGTAAGTTCTTACTCTTTTTTATTTTTGGGCCATTGAAGTTTCTGTTTTACTTAGATTAGTGATCACCTAATGACTGGACAGAGTTTTATTTAAATACCTGAAACCAAAGTGATATCATCTTTGCCAAGCAGCTCCTTGTACATTTTGGTGCAATTTTTCAAAATTTAGTCAGGCAGTTTACAATTCTGTCTTGACAGTCATTTTCTACTTGTGCATACCCTTAAGGTCAAAGAGAGGTGGAACAAAATGCTTTCTCAGGTACATACTGAACCTGAACACTGCCCTCAGTGAATGTATGACCTCACAGGCTCCAAGAAACATGTCGGTGCTTTCCAAATTTCCTTTTTCCAGCCTTTCCTCTCAATCTTCTGTTAGTACATTCTGTGCTGGAAATGGAAATGCTATCCATGGACTCAGAATAAACACTTAAACATTATTTGCTTAGAAGATCTTTCAGTGAATGTCCCTTTCCTCATACACGTACACACACACCCAGTTTGGCTCCAGAAAATTCTAAGTCAGGCAAAACAAAGACAATTCTTTAGAAAGGGTCTTCCAGGAACCTCCAGACAGATCAAGCAATGCTATTTCTTTTTTAATGTGCATTGTCTGCTTGCCTTTCTCTAGGGCAGGAAGGCAGGCAGTTATTTTCATGGCTACTTTTTAGCTATTGAGTGTTGGATGGGACTAGAATATGTTACATTATGCTGAAGCTTATTGTTGTTAGCAAGATTTGGTCTTCTCTTAACAGAATAAATATACCCTAAATTGCTGAAAGCTTTTGGGTAGTTAGTTCTCATGGTTTTGTCAGTTCTTTGCAGGGTTTTTATGAAGGGGTGGGATTTCAGAACTCCATTCCATTTTTGCTGATGTCACCTCTCTTAGCATTTTGAAAGGGTACAACCTGAGACTCGGAAGCCTACTTCTAGATGAAACAGAGCATTGTGGAACATAGGCTAACAGTAGGGCGGGTTCTCAGACGGCCTCATGTTCATGTTACCTAGGCATGAATCCAGATGGCATTAATTGCTACTTTTATTTTGATCAAGTTACTTACTACTTTTAATCATTTTGCCGTTGATAAAATAAAAACGCAAACTGTAGTTATTTTAGAGGGATATTTTGAAGGTCAAGTATAGACTTAGCACAAATACCACAAGAAAACAGAGAATAATATATGAGATTTCTCACATGAACACTGCTTGTTAAAGGAAAAGATTGGTGAATTGATATTATATTGATAAAGATAGTATTTAAAAACATAAAACTACATGAATATTATGAAAATATGACAAACAGAAAGTAGAACTATACATGTGCTGAAAATATATATACAATATATTATAGTTAGAAAACAGAATAGAATCCTGATTAAATTTTAAGGAAATATGCACTCAGGTTTACATAGCAATATAGATTTATCTATATGAACTTAATAAAAAAAATCACAAGCAGCATTTACTTATAAGCTACCACTCTGGAAAAGAATATAACATTCCAATTGAATGGATAAAATAGAAATTGAATTTTGGCTGATTTCTTTTTATCTTTTTTTTTTTGGCTGATTTTTTATCGTTACTTGTTTAAAAATTTTAAGACAAAATATGAAGAAAAAAATTAGAAGATACAATACACCTTTGTCAAAAATAAGGTGGGTATAGTTGTGTGGATTCATATCTGGGTCCTCTATTCTGTTTCACTGGTGTTCATGTCTGTTTTTGTGCCAGTACATGCTGTTTTTATTGCTATTGCTTTGTAATATAGTTTGAAGTCGGGTATTGTGATACCTCCAGCATTGTTCTTTTTACTGAGTATTGCCTTGGCTATTCAGTCTCTTGTGTTTCCAAATGAACTTTAGGGTAGATTTTTCAATCTCTGTGTTGAATGTCATTGGGACTGATGGGAATTGCATTAAACATGTAAATTGCTTTCGGTAGTATAGCCATTTTTACTATGTTGATTCTACCGATCCATGAGCACAGGAGATCTTTCCATCTTCTGTATTCTTCCTCGATCTCTTTCTTCAGGAGTTTGTACTTCTCCTTGTAGAGGTCATTCACATCCTTTGTTAAGTTTACTTCTAGGTATTTGACTTTTTTGGAGGCTATTGTAAATGGAATTGTTTCCTTGTGTTCCTTCTCAGCTTGTTCATTACTAGTGTATAGAAAAGCTAATGATTTTTGTAGGCTGATTTTGTATTCTGCCACCTTACTGTAACTGTTTATGGTGTCTGAGTTTTTGGGTAGAGTTCTTTGGGTCTTTAAGGTATAGGATCATATCGTCTGCAAATAAGGATATTTTGACAGTTTCTTTACCTATTTGTATTCCTTTGATTTCTTCTTCTTGCCTAATTGTTCTGGCTAGAAATTCCAGTACTATGTTGAATAGGAGTGGGGATATTGGGCACCCTTGTCTCATTCCTGATTTTAGGGGGATTGGTTTCAGTTTTTCACCATTAAGTATGATGTTGGCTGTAGGTTTGTCATATATAGCCTTTACAATGTTGAGGTACATTCTTTCTATTCCTAGTTTTCTTAGAGCTTTTATCATGAAATGGTGTTGGATTTTATCAAAGGCTTTTTCTGCATCTATTGAGATGATCAAGTGGTTTTTGTTTTTGCTTCTGTTAATGTGGTTTATTATGTTTATTGATTTTCATATGTTGAACCACCTCTGCATTCCTGGGATGAAGCCTACTTGGTCGTGGTGAATGATCTTTTTGATGTGTTGTTGAATTAGGTTTGCCATTATTTTATTGAGGATTTTTGCATCAATGTTTATTAAGGAGATTGGCTTTCTATTGATGTGCTTTATTACATTTATAGACTTGTGTATGTTGACCCACCCCTGCATCCCTGGGATGAAGTCAACTTGGTCATGGTGAATGATCTTTCTGATGTGTTATTGGATTCAGTTTGCCATTATTTTATTGAGGATTTTTGCATTGATGTTCAAAAGGTGCCAAAAATATACGATGGAGAAAAGACAGCCTCTTCAACAAATATTGCTGGGAAAAGTGTTTACCTGTCTGCAAGAAACTGAGACTAGATCTATATCTATCACTCTGTACTAGTATCAACTCAAAATGGATCAAGGACCTAAATATCAGACCTGAAACTCTGAAGTCACTACAGGAAGGAGCAGGAAACACTCTGGAATAAATAGGTATAGGCAAAGACTTCCTCAATAGAACCCCATCAGGCCAGCAACTAAGAGAAAAGATGAATAAATTGGACTTCATAAAATTAAAAAGCTTCTGCACAACAAAAGAAATGGTCTCTAAACTGAAAAGACCACGCGCAGAGTGGGAGAAAAAATTTGCCAACTATACATCAGACAAGGGACTGATAACCAGAATATACAGGGAACTTAAGAAGCTAAACTCTTCTAACATCAATGAACCAATTAAGAAATGAGCAACTGAACTAAACAGAACTTTTTCAAAGGAAGAAATTCAAATGGCCAAAAAACACATGAAAAAATGCTCACCATCTCTGGCCATAAAGGAAATGGAAATCAAAGCCACACTAAGATTCCACTTCACCCCTGTTAGAATAGCCATCATCCAAAACACCACTAACAACAAGTGTTGATGAGGATATGGGAAAAAAGGAACCCTAATCCACTGCTGGTGGGAATGCACACTGGTGCAACCACTCTGGAAAAAAATTTGGAGACTTCTTAAAAATCTAAACATAGACCTGCCATATGATCCAGCAATCCCACTCCGGGGGATATATCCATGGGTATCCAGAGGCACCTGCACACCCATGTTTATTGCAGCACTATTCACAGTAGCCAAGTTATGAAAACAGCCAAGATGTCCCCATATTGATGAATGAATCAAGAAAATGTGGTACTTGTACACAATGGAATTTTACTCAGCCATGAAGAAAAATGAAATCTTATCATTTGCAGGTAAATGGATGGAACTAGAGAACTTCATTCCGAACGAGGTCAGCCAGGCTCAGAAGACCAAAAATCATATGTTCTTCCTCATCTGTGGACTTTATATCTAGGGCAAATCTAGCAATGTGGTTGGACTTGGATCATAAGAAAAGGGGAGAGCACATACGGGAGATATAGGACTAGGTAGAAAACCCAAAACATGAAAGTATTTGATGTCCCCACTCCAGAGGAACTAATACAGAAACCTTAAAATGACAGGTTTTCATAAGCAGGGGATCAGGAACCAATGTAAAGATCAGTTAGAGTTGAATCAACGTGGGTCGTAACACATGGGTACATGAAAGCAATAGTAGGAATCTTTCTGTATAGCTATCCTTAACTCAACTAGCAAAAATGCTTTGTCTTTCTTATTATGCATATGTCTTTTCTTCAACAAAATCAATGATAAGGGCAGAACGGGACCTGCCTGAAACTGAGGAGGGGAGGAGGGGAAGGGTAGGAGAGGGGGGCAGGGTGGAGAAATGACCCAAGCATGTATGCATATGTGAATAAATGAACAAAAAAATACAAAATAAAAACCAAAAGGCTTGAGGTCTAGATCAAAAAATATATATATACAATACATAAGGATACAAATCTAAGAAGGTAATAAAGAAATAACTTCATTTGTTCTGTCTCCTTTTCTCTTGCAGTGAATCTGCTATGATTTTATGCTAAGAAAAAATATTTAAAAATAAACAACTGGACTGGCAGAGTGGCTTAAGAGGTAAGAGAAACTTCCTAGCAATCATGAAGCCCTGAATTCAAGGGCAACAAATGCTAGCTAATTTTTTAGGTGTCTTACCTATCTTCACCCCTCCCTTGTGTGCTCTCGCTTTTATCATGTGCTCAAAGTCCAATCCCCTTGTTGTGTTTGCCCTTGATCTAATGTCCACATATGAGGGAGAACATATGATTTTTGGTCTTTTGTGCCAGGCTAACCTCACTCAGAATGATGTTCTCCAATTCCATCTATTTACCAGCGAATGATAACATTTTGTTCTTCTTCATGGCTGCATAAAATTCCATTGTGTATAGATACCACATTTTCTTAATCCATTTGTCGGTGGTGGGGCATCTTGGCTGTTTCCATAACTTGGCTATTGTGAATAGTGCCGCAATAAACATGGGTGTGCAGGTGCCTCTGGAGTAACCTGTGTCACAGTCTTTTGGGTATATCCCCAAGAGTGGTATT